TGTGCTTATAGTTTATGTTTGAAATCTTTTCAAGTACTTTTGATTTCAAAGGAAAGAATGACTTGATCGCACTGCATCCCCTGAAGATTTATTCCGCATTGATTGTTTTATGATTTTACTTTGATGTTTTGAAAATGCTTTTATTATAATCATTTTTTGGGATAATGAATGAATGTTTTGACTTATTTAAAATGACTTTTTTTACTCGAAATTTTTAGGATATTATATGGATGGTGATAAACAAGTAAAAGCAGAGGTAAGAGTTGTGTTTCATGGCAATGGTTGGGGGAAATATGAGGGTGGAGGTCTGGGGAAGGAAGGTTATAAGGTTTGATTCAGAAGGGTGAAGATAAGAACAAGAAGAAGGTTTGGAGAAGAAAACCTACTAATGATAGCGGTGGATGGGGATTGAAGCCAAGATGACTAAGTAGAAAATGTAATTGTGATGCAATTAGTACAAATATTATACATTAACACATCTAAAATTCTTCACGACAAAATCACACATTTATAATAAACTTAACGAATTTTAAGTTCATAACCCATGCATTTTCATTGGATGATATATAATTGTTAACTAGTAAAGGATCCTTAGCTTTGCGGGGTTGGTAAGTTTTTGATGATTTTCTTCGGATTATCAATTATCTCTATCTCTGTTGTGGTTTTGAAATATATTAATAATATTTGTTAAGAATTAACGAAAAATTAGAGGAATTTTTCATGTTTTCACTTTCCATTTCCGTAATGGGTTGGGTTAGAAGACGTGCATTCATATATTTTTTTTAATCGGGAGTATGCAGAAAGTGACGTCAAGTCTTATTTATTTAATGTGAAGATGGATTTCATTACATTCGTTTAATCCTACTGGATAAAAAAATTGATAGAAAGTAGGTCTAGTGTTAGCTTCTACTTATCCGATGCCTCCTTTATTACATGTTTGTATTTTCCAATCCTTTTATGGATTGATCTAAGCATAAAGGAGATATTGTCTTGCATGGAGAGGTCCTCAACTTTGGCTTCTTTAAGTATGTTTATCAAAATTTCATAATTGTCGACACTGTACTCTGTTTCTCTGTTCTATGGTAAATCCTTCTTCAATTCTGGTTTAGACTGCTTCCATGAAATCTCCTACCTCACGGAGGTAGGCGATAAGCGCCTGCAGGACGTTTTTGACTTCTTTGTTTTTCATTTTCTTGGTTTTTTGGCTGGGATTGGTATTTTCTTGTGTACATGTGTTGGGGGATTGGGTATTTTCTTATATAGTATTTTAAGTTGGGAGGTGGGTTTTGATAATTGACGTGGGGGTATGTATCAGTTTGTGAGTGTCTTTAAATTGTTGTAGGATAAATAAGCTATGTTGTGAAAGTCTATTTGGATGATGGCGTGGCTCTTTCTGATGGTTGTAGCAATAGTTTGTATGGTAGGCTATGATGGTGGGTGTATTAGTTTGGGGGTAAAATATGTTTATTTGACCTTTTATAATTTTACTGTAATTTTGTAAGAATCGTGTGAGTGTTTTGGATGCAATTTTGTTTTACAACAAATACTCACATAGAAAACTGCTAGTTTCCAAAATAAAGAGGAAAAATAACACATATTTTTATTTTTAACCCACCATTTGCTATAACATCTAAATTCCTAGAAAGTCGCAGGTTATAAAAACATAAATTGCCACATACCTGTATTGAACATATGAAAACATTTGCAATAATATTTTGTAACATTAGAATTTAGAAACAATAATCAACTTCCTTCTCCATGAAATGAAACATTATATAATGGCATGAAATGGGTACACATGTATCATCAACAAATAAAAAATGGGAATAATCTGAAAATAATAACAGGCATGTAAGGTTGCACCGTCTAGCCGATTTGATAAAAAACGTAAAATATATAGACAAAGCAGAAAAACTGTGATAAAAGGTAAGTATAGTGTTCGTCTTCATTTTTGTCCTCAATCTGATTCTATGCCCCATCCCTTTGTTCGTCTTCGTTGATGTCGTTTTCTTTGAATGGGCAAAACTGCAACAATAGTCTTCATCAGCACATCATCTATAAATCAATCAACATCAAAGTAACTAAAAAAAGAAACTGATATAACTAAAACATCATAAACCCGCATAAATCATAGCAGCTAAAAAAAGTAAAAAAGATAATTATTCTTTGGAGCAATATGTCGAGCAGTTGGTGTGCGCAACAACTGCAAACATAACTTGCGACAAAAATAAAAACCCAATGAAAAGTTGGGTTTGATGGTACCAACGACCAGATATAAAAATTGACGATGGTAGTAAGCGGTTCTAACTTTGGCTACTAGGTTTGAAGTTGTTACTTCCTTACCTTACCGATGAGGCCTGATATTGGACTTGTAATAGTAGGGCACAAAGAAAATGATAGGAGTGGAAGAAAATCGATTGTCGAGAGAGAGGGGGATACGGTGGAGATGAAGTCATAAGAGGCAGATAGTGAAAATGAAGTGGTAAAAGTCTAAAAAGGGAAAAGTTTGGTGGCCAGTCGGTGGTTATGAAAAAGGTTAGAGAAGTATCTGGACTGAGTCGTTGATAAAGAAGAAATGGCGGCCGAAGAATATATGCAAGGGAAAGGAGGAGAATATGAGCACCAAAACTTATGTGGTCAAAATCTAAAAGGCGGAAAGTTTTGTGGTCAAATTCAAAAATCCAAAAGAGTCTTATTCTTAAGTGTCCTCTCAATTTATTATATATATAATTAGTGGTACCATCTTATATATTTATCTATAAATGGTACCCATCAAATATATTTATCTGCTACCAACAGATAAAATTGTATTTAAGTTGTATTGTTACAATCTTCAAAATTGTATTTAAGTTGTATTGTTAGAATCTTCAAAATTCATATTTTTCTAAAAGCGATCAAACCCTAAATCTGGCTCCAAATTCCTATACAATTAATATTTTAGAGTGTGTGGATCACCTAACAACTTCTCAATGATGGTGAAATCCATCTGCCATCACCACCAATCTAAGCCACCGCTGCTGCTGCTGCTGCGCTAACGGCGTCTATGTGCGGTGTCCTCCACCACGTATACGGCCGTTGTTGGCTGCACCGAAGGTAGCGTCCATGAGAATGAGTAAGAGGTAGGTGGCGGATGGGACTTAAGGAGGGGTCTTATATGAAGAGAAAAAAAGGCAAGTGAAGTTTCTTCCTCATTTCGTCCATCTAGTGTGTAAGGTAAATGACATTGATAGTTGGACATCTGTCGTCGTTACTTCAACAGCATAGTTGATGGTGTGATCCATAGCTACATAGCGGATACTTTAGATTAACTTTTGGAAACATTGTATACGAAGCAGCTAAATGTGAAAAATCAGCAACTACAAGGGTTTAGTGTTGTCAGAAGCACGGAATTTCATGATCCTAATGGAGGTTAATACTGATGAATATTCATCATATTTCTACCACTAACAATGGAATTAACTCTGAGATTGAGTGATCATTTGTGGTAGACTTTCCAAGGATAAAATGCAATCAATTGACTAACAATCTCTTAGGAAAAAGTCACTCAAGGAGGAGAATGTTTGTTTGATTCTGTAGGAGATCATGTCTTCAAGTAACTCTCAACAAAATACTTTGTTCAGGTTATTTTAAGTAATTTAAATTATAGCATAATTGTTGCATATGGATTCTGTATCAAGTGCAAGTTACCCGATAAGTAGGATTTGGTTATGATATATTAAGGGGATTGATAACTTATATGAGTTTTAGCAGTTAGGTAGCTAATTTTAAAGTCTACATTCTTCCTCCATGTTCAATCCTGATTTTAAATTTTGGAGAGCACTTGATTGAAGGTGAGTGATTGCTTTTCTGGAAATCTAGATTTAACTGCTTTTGCAAATCAGAAAGTTATATACTTGTTTTGTAGTTCTTGCATTTAGTGAGGTACTTTTTTATCCCAATGTAACTTTATTGGAGTGCACTTGTTTTACTTGTGTTTTGCTTAAGAAATTGCCTAATTTTAAGTGTGAGTTTTTAGCAGAGAGTTTATGAATTTTGGTTGCTAGTTGTAGAAGGTTGCACATCAACTGAAATTGTGAAGAGAATTTAGAATGTGCCTCAGATTGGTCACTCTATTAATTTAGAACATAATGAGGAAAGTCTCATGAATTTCTCTATTAAGTTTTCTTCTTTATGCATTAAGAAAAAAAAGTTCCATATATAACATACTAAGTTAAATCATGTTCTCATTAACTCCATTAAGTAACAAAAGAAACAACACCTCCTTGCCTAAGGTGTCACTTATTAAGACTTTAGTGCTAGTGCCCTGTTTGAGTCCTTAAGAGTTTCTAATTATATCATTTAAGATTTTCCTTTCTTTTTCCAATATTTATATACGTTGCCATTGTTGTCTATTCTTTATTATGCTTTCAGAATCACAGAAAACAAATCATAAGAGGAATGTAAAGCATTACAGAAGATTATAACTTAATAAATGACTAGATTCTAGTTTAATTTTAAGATTTTCTAGTGTTATCTATCTATTCACTTTTACTTCCAAAAAAGTAAGATAATGCCACACAAGAAACTTACCACATTGTATACACGGAAAGAAAATGAAATGTGGCCTTTCACTCAATTTGATTCTTTGGTAAAACCAAGTTCACAAGTAATTAAGATTCAGACGTTACATTTTATACAAGATTCTTGTCAACATGTCGATCATTTGCTTTTTATGAATGTTAACAGGGTAAAGTGGATTTCAATGTGATTTTAAACCATATTTGGAGGTGATAGTTACAAAAAAAAGTCAAAACATACGGGGATATATATAGAATTACTTTAATACATTAGGTGGCATAAATGAAAATTAAACCCAACTAATCATCTCACCGTTCACTACTTCACTTGAGATCCAAATCCAACGGCTCTTATCCACCCGTCTCTCCTCCACCCCTATATATATGATCACATAAACCCTAGTTTTCGTGCATCTACCCGACATCTGAGATCTGACCTAGAAGATGAATCAAAACACCAACACCAACACCAAACTTAATAAATTCGTTTGCAGCAAATGTTATTGTGATGATCAAAAGCTGATTCACAATATCTTTTATCTTAGCCAATACCAAAGGTTATGCACATCATGTGTTCTTTTTACATGCAAAGAGTTTTTTTGCCCCACCTGTTTTGGTGTCCATGGTCTGATTACACAAGAAACACTCATCACCTGTCAAAGATGTAATTCTAAATCTCATCCCCTCTGCTTTTCCTCTAACCCTAGTCCCCTAGGAGCACCTCCGATGTGTGCATCTTGTGTGAACCCTGAGAAACTGATTTTTAACCCTATGGGGTTGAGAATCAAAGGGGTTGATCGGGTTATGAAGATTCTTGATGAAAAGGCGATTGTTTTGTTCTTGATAGCAGCAAAGGTAGGGGGTCTGTTGATGTGTGGGGTAAGTGAGGAATTAGACTATGATGGTGGGATGCTAGTAACAGAAACTGTTATCGAACGTAAAAAAGAAATATTGGGGGTGATTCGTGCTATGAGAGATCGTGATTTGAAAAATAAAAATCGGAATGTTGACTCACTGCTTGACTTTTCGAGTAGCGAGGATGGATATGATGATGATACTTCTTCTGATAATGGAAGGATGGAAAGGTCAAGCATTGAAGGTGAAGTTTCTAAAGCTGTACCTATGGAGAGAGATTATCCGTAATGCAAAGGATGATGCGATTCAGAAGAATTTCTCATTACTAGGTTTCTTGATTATCTTGAAGGTGAGTGGTATTTTGGTAAAATAAAAAACCTTTATCTTGTGGACTTTAATAAGTAAAATAGGTTATTTGAGTCTAATAAGCATTGGTTTATCCATAAACAATTTTATAATTTGAACATGCAATGTAATGATGAATGCTATGCTAGTTGTTGTTTTATGTTTGGAAACCAAATATTCAATGTGTTATGCTGTGAGATATCTGGTATTAGTGGCTTTGTTTATAATGTTTTTGAGAAAGGGTTATATTTTTAGCAACCCTTGATTTGGCTGACATAAGAACCCAGTTCCCACAAAAGGAGCCTATCCTAATCTTCAATTGAAGTTGAACACTCACACTGTATGTCCATTTAGGTTTAATCCAGATCTATGTAGTTCCATTTGTGTCTTTTTGGTTCATATTATGATTATGTATGCATATAAAGGTAAATTTAGGCATACTTAGGTCTAACAAGGTCAATTAGTATCTACTTAAGTGCTTTTTGCACAATTAAGGTATACATCTACTTGTAGTTTTGGTTTCACCTAAACAGCTAATTTCTTATGCTTGACTAGACAACCCTTGAGTCGCTTAACAATAAGACCCTCATTAAGGAATTGACGACTTAATTAGAACTTCCACCACTGGACTGGTTGTTTTGTTGTATATGGTTTCAAGTTCAAAATAATGTATCCTTATTTTCCAAACTTCTATATCAAGTCAAAAGGAATTACCTATCTGTAGTTCACTAGATTAACTTGTTTGTGTACAAGGTAGGTGTTGGTGGTTTTTCACTTTGAAGTAATTGAAGCAGCATATTATGTTTTTTTGACTTGTTACGTGTAACCAACTAGCAACATATGTCTTGGACTTAAAAAATACCATAGGATTTTTGCCTACCAATTAGTAATCTGGAACGATATCTCTCTCATATTGTTCGTGAGTGGAATTTCTGCCACTAAAATTTGCAAAAGTATCACAGCTTATTCGTTATTGGTCTTTTGATTTTCTGACCCTGTTCCATTTGGCTGCATTTGTTAATTGGGACATGACTAGAGAGGATTCCTTATTCGCTATTTTTTTTAACATATGCTCAATTGACAATATTTCTCAAAAATTTCTTGATAATTTCAGGGAGAAAATGTTTATATGAAAATGAAATTGGTATACTTATTATTGTTGGACATATGACTGATAAATCTCGATTAAAAATACATTTAATCATAACAATGTCTTGGCGTCATTTACCTGGGTAATATCACATCATTAATATGATCAGTGGATGAGTTTCTCACAGTAAAAACATATATCATTTTTATTAAAATTCAAGTAAACAAGGTTTTAGTGAGAACATTGAGAATCCAAGTATGATGGAGACTACAGATCTTAAAGTCAAAGGTCGATATACATCGTATATCGAGAAGTTCCAGATTAGCTACAACGATAATCTTTGGTTCTTTCAGATGCTTGAACAAAATATCCTCTTAATCCATCATATACACATTATTTAGTATGACAACTAAAATAAGTGATCAACCACGAAAAACAAATTGAGGGTAGTACAAATTTTAAATCCATTACACACATTATTCGGTGAATGTTCCCTTTCATTCAGCATAAAGCAAAAAAAAATGTAACATGATTTTCTATATAAAGCATAAGGTTGTTCATGAACACTCTAACCTAATCTAGTCGTAATGTCTATTCTAAAAATATATTCCAGACAAACAATCGAGTTTGTGCTCACTAGCGGTAATGATGTTACTCCATACTAAAACCATAGTAGCATGCGGTGGTAAGGAAGTCAAGAGTCGTTGTATCTGTTCAATTCATTGATGAAATTAATGATGTTAAAGATATCTATATAGATGTATTATTTATTACTATACTTAATGGATTTTGGCACATTAGAGTCATCTAATGTATGGTTATTAAGATCTAGGAAATATGTACACTAGATTTTGAGAGCGTGACATTCTAATTTGGTAGCTATTGGGTGTGAAATATGGTATTAACTTTTGTTATAGATTTACATGGTGGTGATAAATAAGATTGATCTTCACCACCGCAGCTATTCATAATTAGTTGTAATGATCACACTCTAATAATCCATTACTTGAAAATGTAATTTGTGTGATTGCATGTACAGATGAACATGTTTTGATATAGACAAATTATGTGAATTCTGAATCAATAGTATAAATTAAGTTTTTGATAAATGAAACACCAATTCATTAGGCCTTCTTTGTATGTGGGAGATAAGCTTGGGTTTTAATCAACAATTTCACCTATACAATAAACATAAGAAAAAAGGTTGGGAGTGAATCCTGGAAACACTCTTCATCCTAAGTTAGTGTTGCTTATGAGCATAAAAACACTAATTGCATCTTTCATTGTGTGTTGGTGTGTGCATTAGTGGGTTACGTATTGTGATGACATTAGATGAATTAAGCACATTGTGTCATGTTGTGTTGCAGGTTGACAATTATTTTACTAATAATATACTTACCATTGTCCATATGTATGTATAATAGAACTATGAAGGAGTACATTTTGTACATCCTAATATTTTATGAGATACACTATTGTTCAAGTTGATGTGTTTGGCTTGTGACTCTGGCCCCATTAGTCGAACTCTAAGATCTAGTAGATCGAGGGTCCACCATTAATCCCTAATATGAATTATGATTACGTGGAAGCATACACATTATTCAAACTCAAAATCATCATGTGTGTGTCATCGTGTCAGTACACGTGCTCAAATATTGAAATGCCTTCATTTTGTATATTAGGTCATTGGGTATACCACACACGAGAGGGGTCTATAGCCAGGTGGCAAGGGCACCATGATTGTGCACAATGCCCCTTCTTTTATTGTGCAACAATCGTGATGGATCATGGTGTGTGGCACGACAAACCACGACCAACGGGAGACTGTTCATATCTTTTTTTGTACACACCACGATGAGGGCTAATGTTGATAGTATACCATTGTTGGCATGGAAGGAGAATGTGGTGAATTTTCAGGGGATAATTGTGAGGTAGAGGGGGATAGCGTGGGGAGTATACTTCATGGCCTTAGGTTCCCTCCCATTGCATTTAGTTCTGATTTGATGGGTAGATCATTATCCTACCTTTTAGCTCTCTTGAAATGGTATCCCTTATTATGGTTTTCTTCTTCCTACTCTTTTCATTTTTTTGTTTCCTCTTTTTTTACTTTGTCTTTCCTTCTCTCTCTTTCTTTTCTCTAACATGTCTCTTAAATAGTTAGACACAAATGTAATGTCCTAATTAAAAAGTTTCTTTGAAAACAATTAATATGTAAAAAGCATTAATAAAAGAAAATACTTTTGAAAAGAATATATATATATATATATATATATATATATATATATATATACCATAGATTTCAATGTTAATTATAACAAACTCATTTATAAAATATAACATTCTTGATATAAAAAACTTTAAAATGTCATCCTGTTAAAAATTTTAAAATATGTTATCAGAGTTTGTTAGGACCTTTGAGATTTGATATATAAAAATTTGTTCATCATCTATTGCTACCACTGATGTCATTAAGGGTTTCATACCATGTTGACATCAAGGACCTTAATGAAGATTTGGTAGTACAAGAAGCTTTGAAGATTGAAGATAAATTCCTTATGAATCAAGGATATTAATGAAGATCAGGATTACCATATAACATAAGACTTCCACTTTTGTATGAGATTGAGTTCCCTTTTGTACCTATCTTGTATGTTAATCTATGACCTTAGTCTTACACACCCTCTTCTGTAAAGGGTCATCGATCAAGAGTGTGTACATAGTCAGAGTATGTTCTCTGATTACCTCTTGGTTATTGAAACTATTCTATTCAATAAAGTTTAATTTCATCATTCTTGTTTATTTACTTGTTGAATCTATTTGTTTGGGACCAACAACTAGTATCGAAGCAGTGTTTAGATGATTTTCTTTTTCCTCCTCGTCATCCGCTTTTTGATCTAGTTCCTTGAACAAACGCCCTCCCTTTAATGGAAAAGAACCTCTCGATGTGGTTAAGTTAGACCATGATGGTTCTTGAAACCATGAATATCTTCATGCTGGACATTCTAAAGGAAGGCCTCTATGTTCCTCTTAGGACTATTATTAAAGAAGAAAAAGGACCAGTTACCTTAAGAGCTCTAGTTCATCAGTTGACTGAAGATGACAAGAAGAAAGTAAATTTTGATGTTCGTGCTAGGGCTTCAATATGTATTTCTCTTCTTTACAATGTTTACCATTTGGTAGAGAACTATGTATATGCATGGAGATCATTTCAACTGTCAAGATTACTTATGAAGGCACTGATGAGGTGGATAATAACTTGAAGAACTCCATCATTTGTATGTACGAGTAGTTTTTTGTTATAAGAATGTATCCCTCACTAGCACTTTTCATCGATTTAACTGTTTAATTAATGACTCGAGAAGGTTTGAGATTATAAAAGATAATGATGTGTTGGTTAATAAGTTTCTTGACTCCCTTGATGAGAGTTGGGAGCATCATGCTAATATCCTGAAGAATAGTGAGAAGATAAAGACCATGGATCTACCAAGTCTTTATGGTAATCTAAAAAATCATGATCAAAGTAAGGCTTAGAGAAGAGAAAGTGTAAAGGAGATGAAAGATGGAAAAAGAGACAAATCATCTACTCTTATGTCTAAAGCATCCAAGACAATTGAAGATCTCAGTGAAAGTGATAAAATCTCATCAGGGGAAGATGATGGGTTTTGGGAAGCTAAAAACAATCTCTTTTTATAAAACAATTTTAAGCGACGAACGAAAGGAAGGTATGGGACCAAGACCCATGCTTTCATTAAATGCAAATGTATGGGACTTTTAAGCATGGTGATTGTAAGAACAGATTCAAATAAGCAACACTCCATCACTTCTTGGATGGTGTAGGCCTAAAGTTAGCGAGAGGAGAGAGGAAGAGTGGTATACACTACACACCATTAAACTAATGTATATGTATAAGTTAGTGGAATCCTATGTGTCCAAATACTTATACATGACATATTTAATCATACCATATGATTAAATAACTAGTTATACTCTCTAGAATATTATTTTCATAAAATGATAGTTTCCAAAAATTATTTTCACAAAATAATAACTTCTTCAAAATTATATACAAGAGTTAAATATATTTATTAATAATCTAATGCTCAATAAATGACAACTTGCTAAAGTTGTGACCATATAGGATCATATGTTATTGAAAAACATCATTGTAAATGATTCTTGAGCATATAGATCCAACATAAGACACATAAGATTGTGATGAATTTCAACGGATGGCTAAACTTACTACTCAAGCAACATTGATTGCAAAGCAATTCAAGGGTCTAAAGAATTCTAGAAAGTTCAAGCCAAATCAAATGCCCTTTAGACCAAAGAATCCCGATGATGATTTATCTTCAAGGAATGACAAAGGCACCTCCCCTAACAAGTGCTACAAGTGTAACATCCGGATTTCCAGGTATCATATATTAATTATTTATTTTAAGTTAAGGAGAGGGACTCGACGAGTTGATGCCTAGACTCATCGAGTAGGATCACGACTCCCACTGAGGAAAAGACTCCCACCGAGCAAAATGAAAACAAAACTGTTGGCAGTTTTCCTTAAATTTGTATTTTCTTTTGTACATTTTATACTTGCGTACTTTGTAACATATAAAAAGTTAGTAGTTAATATAGTTAGTATTAATATTATAAATAAGGGGAGATTGTTCGAACCATTGAGATTTGATAAGAGTCAGTGGTTGCATCTCCTGATGACACCAAGAACCTTAATGAAGATTTGTAGAGATGAAGCCCTAAAGATTAAAGATAACTTCCTTACAAGCTAAACTTTGTCGGGGCTTTGGCCTCTTTCCCAAAAAAAAAATTCCTTATGAGTTATGGACAGTAATGAAGATCAGGCTTACCATATAACAGAACACTCCCACTTTGTATGTGATTGTGTTTACTTTTGTACCTATCTTGTATGTTAATATGGGATCTTAGTCTTCTTTTATATATATATATATATATATATATATATATATATATATATATATATATATATATATATATATATGGCAAAGTGAATATATCCTTAAATGTATATAAGCTTAGGTACGCAAATTCACCATACTACATCGTTTTGTATCATATATGCATTTTAATCATCCAAAGTTCTTAAATTTCAACTCCTAACTTGATTTATTTCCAAGATTTTTATAAATTTTACTATTACTTTCCACTTACATAATTTTCATTTTCAACTATAATATATATAGCTTGGTAGGTGTTCGGCAGAAAAATATGATGTGATACAAAATGACATATCATAGTTTGTTTGGGTTCCTAAGCTTATATATCTTTAAGGGGATATTCACTCCCCGCCCCACAAACACACACACACACACACATATATATACATATATATATATATATATATATATATATATATATATATATATATATATCGATACCCTCTTATGTAAAGGCTCACCGATCATGAGTGTGTACGTAATCAGAGTTTGTTCTCTGATTACCTCTTGGTTATTGAAACTATTCTATTAAATAAATTTTAGTTTCATCATTCTTATTTGAAGTCTTAATTATTTACCTATTGATTATGTTGCTTTGGGACCAACAAAGTTACTAAAATGTTTTATGATCAAAATGATGAATTTATAATTCTACATTACATATTTAAATGTCACAATGGTGATATAACCAAAAATCATTGAGAATGAAAATTTTGTCTACAGTCACACCGTCGTCTTGCACATGTCTACCCAGAGGGTCCTGAAAAAATATTAATAAATAACTGGTAGGTGAAAACGCTTATGGAATGTACACTATAATCACAATTATATTAATACCATAACTTTACATAACACATATATTCACATAATAACAGAACTTATAAGTTCTTAAACATATCTTATTGGTACCAACCCTACCTGACATCAGAATGTTTTCCCCCGAAGGGTTTCCTAGGTACTATTAGCAGACTGATTTCCCATAAGGGGCTTCTCAAGTACTACATTTGTCTGAACTCACCACTTTCCCTCAAGGCGATTTGTGTCCAACTAGTTCGATCACATTTCCCCTAAGGAGTTTGTCATGGTTGACCAATCCTTGACCATTTTCCCCCGAGAGGCTTTGATGAAGAACTTAATCCCTAAACCTCACATATACATGCAAAGCCAACATAATAAGCAAGTTAGTGTAACTCACCTAAATCAACAATTCGACTGAGTAACAATGCATGTACATGCTAAGATGAACTCCCACCTCTCTGAACACCTACATTCCATACCAACAACCTTTACATAGATGACATTTCAAGTTTTACTTAATAATACTTATATCATACTCTATTTTTACTTGTAATGTCATTACAACAATATCTTCAGAGACCTTCCTATTCTTTTTGTAAGGTTATTACTTATTTTTATATATCACTTACCTAGATTTTCGGGTATATAAGTTTTAATGATTTTTCTACTTTATTCCATGAATTTTACAAATTTACTATAAAAATTTGTCAATGTTAGGCACCAATCTGCAAAGATGGTCACCAACACTAAAGAAAGAGTGAGTATCATTCCTTTTCGAAAATATATATTAAGCTAGACTCTATTATCTAACCTCCAATACCTCATCCTAATTGGAATTTTCTAGAATTACTTATGTATTTTACAGGATGGCTATTACAAACAACCATCATCTTGGACCAAACTATAAAAATGCCAATGTCACCAAACTTGGGAATGGAATTTGGCTAAGGCTTTTGGATGAAAAAACCTAGATATACTTACCAACATCCATACCAGAATGTCATGAATATTGGATTTTCATATTTAGCTATGAATTATTCAAAATGACCAATGTGATAAGTTGGGTTTCAGACGAGTAAGCATCCAATGCAATAAATGTACATTTGTGGAGTAAAACAAATCAAACCATTTACATGGATGAAACTAGACATTCATATATTTTTCAAAGTTGTAAAAATCGCTTAGCGGTAGCTCGACGGTCGACTGGGATAAGCGATTAATCGGACTAGGCAGGATTAATCGGGGACCCTTAATTATTAATAAAATCATTTAAAAAATTAATATTCGCTAAACACGAAGTATTTGAAATTTTAAAATTCTAAAATTTTAAAATTTTGAAATTTTAAAATTTTGAAAATTTAAAATTTTGAAAACTTTAGTTTAATATATTAAAATTTGAAAATTTAAAATTTTGTGTTATATTTGAAAAATAATTTTTTTTTAATTTTTAAAACATTCCCTCCTATGACCGCCAAGGGCCGCCAATGCGAACTTTGACCGATTTTGGCCGATTTTGACCAATTTCCGCCAAACACCCTAATCGTAATCAATTTAAGGTCGCCAAGCGATTAATCGACCGCCAAGGTAGATTTCTGCAACACTGATATGTTTAGAGACATATTTTTCATGCAATTTGGACATTTCTATGATTTTATATGATTTTCCAAAGATAATGGACATATTCATTAGTTCAACGTACCACCAATGTTTATGTCCCCTTTTTGTGCCACTTATTAAGTACTTAACCATTAAGCTTCTTATCATCAATTCCATGAAGATACAAGTTCTAGTAACTCATATTTAGAGGTGTAATAAGAACATATTAGTATATTAAGAACTTGACTCAAAATCAATATACAATCCATACTTATTCACTTAATGGTCATTAGAAGAAATTCATAGGTATAGTTTTCAATCAAAACCCATTAAGCACTTAATATTCACATAAATGAGCTGAGAAATGCAACACCACTCAACCACCATGAGTGGTAATGACGTAGTGGTGATAAGGTGGTCTTAGGGTGGTTAAAGTGTTGGGTTATATTCAAAAATAGTTTAAAAACACAAGAAATTTGGCAAACAGAAGAATTAAAATTCGAAGAACATAGCTAGTTTATACCCACCAACGATCATCTTGAATGAGTTATAAAGAAAAAAAAAACAAAATGGATTTAAAAGGAACAACATTTGTAGTCCTTTAAGTCCTCAAGGAGAGGCTTGGGATTTGATGAAGAAAGGCAAGATCCAAACTAGGAACTCTCTATAATGTATCCACCAAAAAGGTCTCCAATCCACTAATGAATCTAGTTCACTTGAAATGAGATGTTCTTAAGCTTTTAAGTCATATATAAAATAAGAATTCAAAGGATAACCAAATCCTAGCATAAAATGGAAAACAAACTAGCAAATTAGAAGGGGATAGAAAGAGCTAAAACGCTCTCGGTGTTGGCTCCATTGAAGAAGAAAAGAAATAACTCTCTCTCTCTCTCTCTCTCTCTCTCTCTCTCTCTCTCTTCTTTTATACTTCCACTTGTATAAAAGAACCCATACATTTCTTAAATTTTCAAGTAACTAGCAAGTAAGTATGGTAGTGTAAGACTGTTGGGGTTTTATTCTAAAGTAGTTTCAAAAAACCAAGATTTAGCAATGGAAGACTTTAATATTTTTGAACAACATAAAACTAGTTTACAACCCACCACGGATCTTCTTGCAAAGTTTGGAAAGAAAACAACAACCACAGAGGAAAAAAGTATAACAACCTTTTTAGACTTTGAATCCTCAAGGGGATTCTTGGAAGTTGATGAAAAATGTATGAACCTTTGAGACGCCAACAATAATCCAACTTGATGACAATGTTATTCTTTAAACTCTTAAGCTCTTAAGCGTTAAGTTCATAACCAAAGTATGAACTTAAAGAGAGCAAAA